TTATAAAGCAGTATATATTTTATATATCGATTAAATAAAAATTAGCGACATATGACAAATTATGCCTTGCCAGCGGTGAGCTTTCTCCTATGAAGAGATTTTTTTACACGACCCTGCTATATATTTATACCAAACAGCATATACGCAAGAAACTATGATTCAAACATGTGACGCACACCTTTCTGCAAATAATAGTAATTTCCCAACGCATAAACATAAAAGTTTATTGACACGGTATGCCATAATTTTACCGAAAGAAAAATATTGTATGAATACAGCTTTAACACCACCTTGAACGCGGCTTGGATATGCAGTTCACCATGAAAACGTTAAAAGTGTACACAATATAATAGATTCGATAAATATAGTGATCTTACAGACCTCCTACTTGTTTCTTCAATTTGCATCAGATGAGATTAAAGAGATTAGTACCTATAATACAAATAGATGCTATGTATATTGATGACAGCTTACAAATACCTGTAGCATATTTGGTTTCGTTGCAATTCTCCTTGAGAATTAATTTTTAATGCCTTGCGTCTAAGAGAATGAAGCACTGTACCGCGAAAAGTGTTCGCTATACATGCAGGTCTAATGTAGTACGAGCCCCTTCCCACTTCAGTTGAAATCTTAGTTTTTTCTTCTCAAACACAAATAATAAAAATGTAGCAGGGTGTTATAGGTTTAAAATATTAACAATGAATAATTTGATAATATATAGTAGAAAACACCAACTTTATCACTCCCTAATAAAATTTGCAGCATAAAAATAACACATGTTGCAATTACAGCATATCAACTTATTTTCATTTCAATGCAAAATAAGTCTATAACGCATAGGTGGCTGTGAAAAATAAAAGCCATGACAATTGTTTTTATTAATCACGGCTGTCAGAATACGTTTAAAATAGTTTTGGGTAATTAAGGTTTTCAAAATGGGTAGAGGAAAGGTTATTAGTGAGAAAATTCGGTTACTGGTAATTACATTTTTAATTCTGGGAAATCAAACTCAGAAATTGCAACTTTGTTAGACTTATCGCGGTACAGTGTGTGAAATATTGTTAGAAGATATAACGTAACAGGTTCAGTTAATATTAAGCCACGATATGTGAAAAAAAGTAATATCACAAATGCCGACCGAAGAGCATTAAGAAGAATAATCGTGAAAAACAGGCGTGTAAATTATTTACAATTAAGTGCTCTGTGGAGTGACGCTGTTGGAAGGAGAATTTCGAGGTCCACAACTCATAGAGAGGCCCACAAACTGGGATTTTGCACTTGTCTTATTGACAAAAGTTAAGTAAAAACCCTAAAGTTGCACAACTTGTTTATAGGCCAAAGAAAAGCCACTATTAACTCAATGGACACCTCAACAATGGTGTACCATACAATGGAGTGATGAGGCCCGATTCGAAGTTTGTGTTGGTGACAGTCGCAGTAGAGTTATTCGCAAAAAAAATGAAGCATTCCATGTTGACTGTCTGAAGAGAAAAGTGAAATTTCCAGCATCCATTATGGTCTGGGGTAGTATGTCATCAAAAGGAGTATGAAAACTTCATTTTATTGATGGAAATGTGGATACAAACAAATATTTGGCAATTTTAGAAGAATCGCTTTTACCAGTGATGGAAGAATGTTTGACATCCGGTCAAGATTTTGTGTTTCAGCAAGATGGTGCAGCGTGTCATGCCTCAAAAAAGGCTATAAAATGGATGGTAGAAAATAATGTATCACTTTTGAAATGGGTTTCTAGCAGTCCAGATCTGCGACATTTGTGTCAAAAGCGGGTCATATTGCAACAATTCCTCTTAATGAGCAAAGAACTGTTACTGCGGATTGGTATACCACCATTTGTTTACCAAAAGTAAAAAATCAACCCCAAAAGAAGAATCATCCTCCATCAAGACAATGCAAGCTCGCACACAGCCCAAAGAACAAGGCAGTATTTAACGGAAGAAAACGTGGAATTATTGGACCATCCTCCATATAGTCTAGATCTAAGTCCTAACGATTTCTTTACTTTTCCGAAGATTAAAAATAGACTGCGCGGTCAAAGGTTCCAGTCACCAGAAGAAGCAGTTGACGCATTTAAAAATGCCGTTTTGGATCTGCCAGCAAACGAGTGGAATAAGTGCTTCGAAAATTGGTTCGAGCGCATGCAGATGTGTATAAATCTTCGTGGAGAATACTTCGAAAAACAATAAAGTCATTTAAAACTACCTACCGTGTTGTTTTATTTCCATATGCAAAACTTAAGAGACATCTCTCGTTTAGTCGTGTCCGTCCTTTTCTTTTGGCATAAACATGTTATACAGGGTGAATTTTTAGTATGGTTCGCTCGATAACTTCCTTATTATGCATGGGATACAAAAAAGTTAAAAACAAAAATTATAGCCAACAATATGCTCCTTACCTGGAGAATGTTCTTATTTCTATAGGGTGATTCATAACTATGTAGTGATATAGATGTATTTAAATGGTAAAGCCTACGTTTTATTACAGATTCGGATATGCCCTTTTAAAGCAAGCAATTTGATAATATGTCATACTATAGAGTTGTATTTCATCAAAAAATAGGGAGTAATACTCGACACCGCTGGCATTGTTGAGCATAGTAAGAAATAAAATTTGGAATATTTCATCATTCATCACATCAGTTCATAATATTATTGTTCATATTGAAATGTGCGTAATTCTACACATTTTCCTGATAGCAACTAGAAGTTTCATGTTGACCCGCTCCTTAATATTCTACATTACGCAAAAGAAACTTTGCAGGTTATAAGAAATGATGTAACATTCTTTTCAGTTACCTGGAATTTTTCCATAATAAAATGCTGATAAATTAAAATACCACATTTTCCTAGAAAATCGGAATGAACAAATTTTTAGCTGTTTAACTACCCATTCTTTAATTTTTATCTGGTGATATACTGATGACTAATTGTTCAAACATTCAAATACCTTTCAGCAGAAATGTAGCGTTTAAGCATTTATTGTTAATATAAGAATCCATATAAAGTTATGGAATTAGTAATAAAAACTTGATTGAGTTCAGTGCAATTAGCAAAAGAACTATCAGTGAAAAAACATTGTGACGTTTGCATCAGAGAGTAGTATAATATACTAAGTGACATATAAATTCGAACACCCAGTTTAAATGGTTTTATTTTAATAAAAGTTGTTGAATGTATTTATCTTACTGTAAATAACAAGTGAAAAAATTTTCAGCCTTATCAGTTGGACATTCCGGTTTTTATACTGCTTTTTTTTAATTCACTAACGCTCTAAAAATGAATATTTCAGCCGCAGTAAAGAATCAACGTTGGCGGATTTTGGTTCTTGACATCCTTTACGATCGGTTACGATGCCTAGAGTACGGAGACCTGTACGATTTCGTCAACTTAGTGAGTTTGATAGGGGCCGTACAGTGGGACTTCGGGAGGCTGGACTTTCTTTTCTGGCAATTGCAGTTAGAGTGCAAAGAAGTGTAGACACTGTGGTTAGGTGTTGTCAGGCATGGCTTCGAGAAGGCCGTACGCAAAGAGCAAGGGGCACTGGACGTCGCCGTAGAACAACAGACCGTGAAGATCGCCGCCTAAGATTATTGGCCTTAAGGGACCGTTTCTCCACTACCAGGTCCATTGCAAATGAATGGTTTGCAGAACACGGAAGACCTATTGGCATGCGAAGTGTTTACCGACGAATGAGAAGTTTTGGCTTGTTTTCATACCGGCCACACTGGGTCCTCCCTTTAACTCGAGAACACCGACGTAATCGCCTTGAGTGGTGCAGACAACGGTCACTCTGGGATCAGGAATGGAACAGTATTGTCTTTAGTGATGAGTCTCGATTTTGTTTAGGCATGCACGATAGTCGTGCCAGGGTTAGATGGCGACGTGGTGAAAGGAGGAATCCACAGTTTTCTGTTGAAAGACATGTTCATCACACTGTTGGAGTTATGGTTTGGGGTGCTATAGCTTATGGTTCCAGGTCACCTTTAATCTTCATCAGAGGTAACATGAACGCGCAGCGTTATATCCACGAAGTTCTAGAACCCCATCTTTTACCCTATTTTGACACCCTGGCAGATCAAACTTTCCAACAAGATAATGCCCGACCACATGTTGCAAGAGTCACAATAGACTTCTTTCAACATAATGATGTCACATTGTTACCATGGCCACCAAGATCTCCCGACTTATCCCCAATTGAGCACGTGTGGGATATGATGGGTAGGAGATTGCTCAATTTGCAACGTCCTCCTCAGACTCTAGAAGCACTTCGAGAGGAGTTGGTGGTTGCCTGGAATGAGATACCACAGGAGGACATTGACCACCTGATCAGAAGCATGCCTAGGCGCGTTGGAGAATGCGTAGCACATCAGGGTGCATCCACACATTATTAAAGGTCAAAGGGCTTTAAAGCAGTGCAATCATTTTGAAATTTTTATCATTTACTTATTATGCTTCATTAAGTACTTATACAAAATTTTATTAAAATAAAACCATTTAAACTGGGTGTTCGGATATATATGTCACTTAGTATAGTTCGGCACTATTTTTGACCTTTTCTGGATGTTCAGTCCGAATTTTTTTATCAACTAAATCCCATGGGGTTAAGGTCTGGACTCTGAGCTGGCCACTTAATGACATTAAGATTGTGATCTACAAAAAATGTTTTTATTATTTTCGCTGTGTGCTTGGGGTCGTTGTCGTGCAGAAACCGCCAGCGTAGAGGCATGTTTTCTTCCGCGTAAGGTAGTATGGTATCAGTTAGTATTTGTACCGGTTTATAATTCCTTCAATTTTGACGATGGGTCCCATTTGAAGACCCAATAGTTGAACCTTGCCGCCTCCGTGTTTGATTGTGCCCAGTATCAAATCGCTTGTTTTTAGGACGTCTTACCCATATCAGGCCATCCGAAGAAAATAAATTAAATTTACTTTCATCAGAAAATAATGCAGAATTCCACCTTGTTTTTGGCCAGTTCAAAAATGATCGTAAGCAAATTGAAGACGGGCGGTCTGATTTCTCTTGGAAATAAATGGTTTTTTAGATAGTCTCCTTGCTGGTAAATCACTCTCCCTTAAACGTCTTCAAAAAGTGTGGACGCCAATATTCACTTCTTCAAGTTGAGCTTTTATGTCGACAGCAGTAGTAAATGTATTTTTAAAAGCAAGTGTTTTAATTTTACTATCATACTTCATAGTTTTGTAAATTACCGATCGGCTTAAATTCGACTGTTTGGCTATGGTTGCTTGTTTAATGCCTGATCGATATTTTAAAATAATCAATTCTTTTATTCGCAAATTCAATGTAATTCCTCTGGCCATGTTTTTGAACTACACTTTACCAAATACACTAAAAAATAACACCTATTCTAATCAACGATTAAATATAAACTAAATATTTACAAAATGTTTCTCTACTTTTGCTCATTGAACAAAGAACCGACCGTATTATATTGAAAAAAAAGAATGTATACAAAGATAAGCATTTCATTATCTTGAGGTAGTCATACATAAAAAACTTTAGTGTACATTTTTGGGTTAGAGTAAATTTTTCTGGGTTTTTATTTGTAATGCGGTTTGTTTCTCTACTTTTGCTCGGTACTGTATAAATTAAATAAAGGAGAGGCTTTCGGTGATAAATGTTCTCGCATTTCATATGGAGAGGACTGACGGGTGTAAGAAATATTTATGTAAAAATACTGAATTCCTTTTGATTGAAAAAACATCGACTGGAAATATATATTTTTGGAAATCTGCCTGAAACTGGCATGGCTAAATTAATTTGATCCGACCTTTTCTATCGAGTTTGCAATTGAAAGGTGTATATTGCCACGCACCAATTGACTTAATTAAAAATGACGCGCTTCCTGGGTATTTTTAGTTTATAAGCACGTTGACACTCCATATATATGTACGCACTAAGATCTATATAAACATGTCTCAAACACTCCATTATGTAACTAGAGGAATATTTATTTTGTGGAGCAGAAATATTTCTTCGGTATGACTCAACTAGTTATTTATTTTATAGTAAATTTGTATTCCAAAGTAGCAAAATATGCAAAATATGATAAGTCCATAAGAGGTTGAATGACAAATTAATTGCGAAAAAGCTTATTATTATTTTCTTAGAATAAGGTACCTGCACCAAATAAGGCCAAGCTCCTTATAAGGCCATGCGTTGATTTTACAGACACTAGTTACATCTAGAATTAAAGATTTCTACAGTTCTATACATTCATTGAGATGAGTTAGCACCCATAAATGTAGCAGCTCTTTTTTTTTTTAGAGACTGTAGTCGAAATATGCGCTCTAAGGAAAGGGCGCTGTGGTCAACCGAAGCGCTTGTACGAGCACTGGATAGTATAAACAGTGGAACGTCGGTAAATCGTGCATCCAAAGAATACCAAATTCCACTAAGAACACTTCGCAATCATGTTCGTACAGGTGTGCGAGAAAGAAAACTTGGTACTCGTACAATTTTGTCTAGAGAGCAGGAAGATGAACTATGCTCAAGGATAATCCGATTATCGGATACAGGAATGCCCCTTACACCAAAGATTTTGCGAAAATCCGTCTTTTCCTTTGTTAATGACAAAAAAATTCGTCACACATTTAATGAAAATAGTGGAATGGCAGGTAGAAAATGGTTGAAGTTGTTTTTGGACAGACATGAAAATATTCGTCAAAGGAAAGCACAGGTTTTAAATCCAGCTAGGGCACAGAAAGTAAATGAGTACATTCAAAAAACTAGAAAGTTTGCTGATTAGACTAAACCTAACCAATCAGCCCCATCGTATCTACAATGTAGATGAGAAGGGGTGCCGACTCACCATCCACCGCCAACCAAATGTGTTGGCGAGGAAAGGTGAAAGACGTGTTTACTATGTAGCTAATGAGCACGCAGAAAATTCCACAATAGTTGCATGTGGAAATGCTATTGGACAGGCAATACCACCAATGGTCCTGTTCAAGGGAAAACGTAAAAAGGATGAATGGGGTGACAATATGCCAACCGGAACAGTAATTGAAATGACCCAAAAAGGAAGTATGACGGCAGCAGTGTTTGTTAAATGGCTAGACCATCTAGCAAACTTTAAGCCACCAGGAGATATTCTTCTCATTTTTGATGGTGCCTCTTCTCATTTGGCTGCAACTATTGTTGACGCCGCCGAAAAACATCACATCACTTTATTGTGTCTTCCGAGTAACACGACACACGTGCTGCAACCGCTGGATAAACGTGTTTTCCGCAGTTTCGAATATCATTGGCAAAATGATATACCATTACAAGCGGTATCCTGGCAGGAAGTTGAATCGTGCAAGATTTGGAGAAATTTTGAGGAAAGTGTATCCAAGGGCCATGTCTTCTGAAAATCTTCAGTCAGGATTTCGCGCAACAGGAATATACCCACACGACCCAGCTGCGATCCCGGAGACTGCATTTACACCTAGTTTAATGTCAGAGAGGCCCGATTCAAATACGGCAGCTACAGATGTTCAGGAGGAGAATGAGGAAAACCATGATGTCAGCTTTACAGAATCTGATGACATACCCCTTGCACTACTGATGGCCAACGGAACTTCAATGTTACAGATAACAGCTACTTCTAATGAAAAAGAAATAAACTCGACTCAAAAGTTTGCAGTTCTTGAAACAACAACTCTTGTGACTGGTCAAATAGACAGTGATCAATTGGATTTAAGTTTTGAGGGAAGTACTTCCCACACCCGAATGGAAGGCCAACGCCACAAAAAGACGAAAAGCCATCAATTGTACTGCACAAATCGTCGTAAGAGATTTGTTTAAAGACCCAAATCCAGGTCCATCCGGCTTAGATAAAACAATAAAAAAATCTAGTGAGTCTGGAACCGTTAAAAGCAAAATGTCCCGAAAGAATAAAGACGAAAACTGGTACTGTTTCATATGCGATAAGGATGAAGTACGTGACATGCGTCTGTGTGTAGTATGCTTAAGATATGTCCATGAGGAATGTGTAGGCTTGTGTAGAGGTGATAAAGTATCATTTGTTTGTTATCATTGCGAAGGCAAAATCTAAGATTCTGTATGATTTTCTTTAAACAAGTTGACTTTTTTTATTTAAATCTGTCTAGATTTAAGTGTTTTTTTTAATTTTGTTTAATTAGAAATATAGCTTCGTTTATTATACAGTCTTGATTTACATTTTTATTGTGGTTTTATTGAAAACCAGATGGTGACCTTGTTTGGATACATGGGTTCCTAATAAGGCCAACGGTAGTGTTTCGAAAAATATATTTTTTTTATATGAAAAGAAAAGGTCTCTGAGTTCTCCGATGTAGCTTGTGTAATAAACATATCTACAATAATACCTTTAAAATTTCAAGGTCGTTTCGCAAATATTTACGCAGTTACAGCTATCCAAACGTTAATGTGGCCTTATTTGGTACAGGTACCTTACAAATTTTTTGAAATAAGGTTTTCGATGTTGAAAAAAAAAAAGATTTTTGGTATAATCGCAATTTGGCATCATAAATAGTAATCTGACATAAGGAATTGCAATTTGACAATAGTTGGATAATAAGGTTGCGTTTTCTTCAAGTCTTTGCTGGTTGTCAGAGCGGCCCGTGGGACCTTAGCTCTTGAGTCACAGTATCAGTTTGTAAGTCTGCAGGTCTGGTAACCCAGAAACCAGACAATTTTAAAGAAAAAAGAGAAGGAAAGGAGAGAAGGAAGAACGAGACCAAAGAGGAAGAAGAGAATCTTTTAGGATAGGCAGCGTGTAGGCATTGTTAAAATAACTTCACAGATTTTAATATAGTATAAAAATATTTGATTTTTTCCTAAAGATTTTGTCAAAATGCTCCAATTTTATTTGTTCTAAGTTCGCGAATTAATTTTGATTACAGTGCGAGCCGCAGCCTTTTCTGCTTGCGAACTTGCTCGACTTTATAGTTCACTGACTCGCGCAACAGAGGGTTGCCGTGCGATTCCGCTAGGCTATAGCGCCGCTGCGCGTGTTGCTTAATGTAGTCCTTTACGTTAGGGACATCGAGGTCTCTATGAAGAGTTTCGTTAGAGACATACAGTAATAGTGCGCAACGTCCTGCTTTGCAGAACCTGCAGACTTCGCATGTGTGTTTTGGCTCAGCTAACGTACAGCGGTCCCAAAAACGGTGAAATATCATAACCTAACGATCTTGATGCATTGCTTGTCATTTTCGTTATCCCCACTATTTCGGAGCGTGGCGTAAACTAGGAGGACCCCAGTGGATCGCTGGTGCTGGAAACGATACGGCCCGTCGCTAATCAAGTCGTGACGTTCGAGGTAGTCTTAGATCTCTTTTTTGGGATGGGTTGGACATGAGCTTAGCAGTTTTTTGCGAAGGTGCTGCTCACACCTAAGAAATTACCTTGTGCCTAACTTTTATATCGTACTGGTATTTGTCATGGCGGACCGCTTCGTTATATTTGTTTCTGGGCTCGACATCGGCTTGTCTGTTTTCTAGAGTGGGGTTCTCCAGACTCACGCGCGTATCACGGCGTACAATCGCGGCACGGATCTCGGTCCGAATCCCGAAAACGTTTCGTACAGTTCCACAGTCGCAGATGTTCGCGCCTATTTCACGTTATAATTCGCGCTCTTGATGAGCATGGACAGTGAAATTGCTACAGCTGCTGTAGGGCTACTTTGCGCTTTGGCAATTCATAATTACGCATATACAGGGTGTCCGCAAAGTTGGGGTTTACCTTTACACGACGTATAGATCTTGAAAACATAAGCAATTTTTCTTAGTACCATATACACCAATGTCTTAAGGGAACCGAGATAAAGGGCTCTGCAACATCAAAAATATCTGAATACCGTCCTGTAGCCGCGACATCCCCGACTGGTACTAGGACACTAGCTCAACCCGACGACAGGACTGGGTCGGGGTCAGTGTGTCAGGTCAGTATGCAACCTTCAACCGACGGTTACGGTCACGCGTCTAGAGGTAATCGCGTAGACGAGAATCCCTCAACAAGCACTAGAGACGTGGCTAGAGAAGTGCAAGTATCAAAAACTAAAGTGTGGCAAACGCTGCGTGGAGAGGGGCTGTATCCGTTTCACGTCCAACGTGTACAAGCCCTTCAACCTGACGATTTTCCAGCAAGAGTGCGGTTTTGTGAGTGGTTGTTGCATCAACATGACAATAATCCGGACTTTTTGAAGTGCATATTGGTGACAGACGAATCTACGTTCACGCGTAATGGGGTGAATAACTTTCGCAACACTCATGTTTGGTCAGTAGAAAATCCGCACGCTGTCCGTCGGGCACATTTTCAACAAACATTTTTGATGAATGTTTGGGCTGGCATGGTGAACGGTCCATTTATTCTCCCAAATCGATTGGACGGGA